ATATATAGCTACATTTTACCCGCAGTTTATTTAATTCTTTTTTTATGAAGTGGGGGGGGGGGCGAGGATCAGTTCATGCAACATTTTCTCTATAGCATTAATGTTATGAATATCTTGGGTTTAAGGTATCCGACTACGTTCGGAACCGTGATTTTGCAAAAGCGTATAAATGGATAATATTTATGATATTTAGTGTCACTAAGAGATTAGAAAATGTAGATAAAATTGTTTTAAGAAATAATATTACAATAAAAAATTATTTAAGTACAATATTTTGACAAAAAAGGAAACATAGAATGATCTCTTTTCAAAATATTCTCCTTTTGTGAAAAATGCTTTTATTATAATATTTCGCCTGTATGTAGCTCAGACCTCTATACAGAGGCTCAACTAGAATTTTTGAAATATATAACTTAGAAGTGAGTTTATCCGTGTTTTATTCGACAACAGAGAGGAGAAATTTTAAGAAAAAAACGCCGATAATTATTTCAATTAGTGGTAACTCTGAAAATAATGTGAATTTTTCAAAAATCATAGTAGAACATCTGTACAGAGGTCTGAGCTATATACAGGCAAAATATTATTATAATAGAAGCATTTTTCACAAAAGGAGAACATTTTGAAAAAAGGTTATTCTAAGTTAATTTTTGCCTAAATATTGTATTTATATGTTTTTTTGTCAAAATGTCCTTTAAACAATTTTATACATGTGTTCTAATCTAAGTGACACCTAAATATCATGAAAATTATCCATTTATGCGCTTTTTTAAAATCATGGTTCCGAACGTAGTCGGATACCTTAAGAAACATTTTTTTAAAAAAATTAGTTGGTAGTACAGTCACCAATTTTTTATGTACATTCATTGTATTAATATTGTTATTTACTAAGAGCATTTTTTTTTCTTTTGAAAAATTTTAATCAATTTTGTATATCGTTATTTTAATACAAATTGCATTATCCTTTTTTAATCAACTACCTTATTATTTTCCCCATTATGGTAATGTTAATAATTTATATCAACCAACAATTTACTGATTAAACGTTTCAAGTTCTTAGTAGCATTTTTTACTTTTAATTTAATAGAATATATCTTCGATGATGGCCTAGTAATTTTCTTAAAAACGTATGAAGATGCATGCTGATATTAAAATTCTTGTAATAGCGTATTTTAACTCCTTGACATATTTTAACCCCGATTTAATTTAAATAATTTTCATATGAATATACGATTTGTATTATTTTCTAAATATTTATTCTGCAATTTTAACTAGTCCTGATTCTATTTCTTGTAAAAAAAAGAAATTATTTCAGATTCTGCTTGGTTGAAATTTTCTCTACTTTACATCAGGTTACGTGGCAATTTCATTATGATAAATGTATGCCTATTATATCAAGACCAATTTCATTATTCTGATCTACATTATATAACATTATTATAATGAGTAATGCTCATTTTTTAAGATGAAGTATTAATGAATAATTATTATTCGATTTTGAAAGTGTAAAAATATATTAAACGTTTGGAGATGGGTATAAAAATATAATTATTCCTTATTTATATATAAAAATAATATATTTTCTTATTTTACCAAGTCAGAGATAATGAAATGATAATGCTATATTTGTGATAATTAAAAGGATTATTCGAATGCTAACATTCACCGCAGTAGGTCGATATCTGCAGGATATATTGATAATAATATATATATTTCCGTTAAAGTGTGAAATACGATGTTGTTGTCGAGTGTTTCATCCTGGGATACATATGAAAGACAAGAAATAGATGAACAGAAACATACAGTACACTATCATAGAAGAATATAAACTTAATTGTACAAACGATGATCTCAGCATAGAAAAAAGGGGTTCCATTCGAGACGGGAATCCATTTCAGGCAAAAGTCCGACTTCTTTACCCGAAGATAAATCCATGCCTTATTCGGGATTCGAACCCGAGCACACTCGATTACAAGCCGAGTGTCATAACCACCATACTGGGTGGGGGGAAATCCGTATTTTTATAGAATAACTAGGTATTTCAGGAAATAACTAGAAAAAAGTCAGTTTGTGATATGGTTGATCTTTGGCGACCATATCTTTGGTTGTCAGCGTGATTTAGAGGTGTGGGATTCTCAAAATGAATCGACATTTTAGAATTCTTAATATGACTTTATTAAGAGTTTAACTTAAATTTCTAATATATTGGACAAACTTCTATTAAGTGACAATAAACCAAAACACGTAGCTGTAGCTAAACCGGATCGCGCAATTGGATCACTTATCTAAATAATTATATTATCCGCCTACTTTCAATTCTAATAATATTACGAATTCTGATATCAAATAATCTGCCCTACCTTGAATCACGCAACGGTTCAATCACTTTCAGAGAGATTGTTAGGCACGCGTGCAATAGTATGCACCTTGTAGTAATGGCTAGGAATCCGTGAATCTTTGGTAGGCCGTCAAATTACACTTCAATCTTTTCCAAACAGAACGTTCTCTAAATTGCCATCCCGCTTACTAAAACTTCTGTTCTTTTAAGGGCTATCTTATTTGCATCTACACTTGCATTTCACTTCTTGGATTTGGGTTGGAAAAGATTTGCCATTAATCTTGGCCGTCAAAGAACCCAGAGGTTATGTTACAGAAAAGACGCGTGAGCCCGTCACAAGTTAAAGTATATAAAATTATTGAATTCTATGCTTTAACTAGGTATTCTATGGAATAACGATTATTCGATCGTTAAAGTAAGAAATACGGCTCTCGAAAGTTCGTGGAACTGATTTTAGTTACTTTTAGACAGTTTTGAACCACTTATAGCAACTTTGCAATTATACGCTTGTGTGTGTGCCCTTCATTCCGTTGCGTTTAAACGTAGAATTTAGGTCGTGTATTTATGTTAGTGTTTTGCATTTTGGATTATTAACAAATATTTTTGCAACCTGTTTTCAAGAAAAGACTTCTGCAGGAATGGGAGACCAATCTGTAAATAAGAACGATTTAATGCAAGAGAGGTTTGAATAAAATTATTAAATAAGTGTGAGACAAAGAAAAATAGAGTGCTGCATTTACTCGTGAAAAATTATTAACTTTGATTGCAGAGGTAAAAATTGCTAAATCAGCACAGAAAAAAGTACCACGTGACTGTTGGTTACTCCAGTATTATGATATCCCTGAAGTATATAAGGAGTAGAAATTTATATAATTGTACCAGTAAAACATGCAAAACATTTTTTTTTTCTGTGTTAAAATAATGTTAGCAATATGAGCAATAATAAATTATATCATCTGCTTTTAATTGTTATTTATCAATTAATCATCCGCAATAAGGATAAAATGTATTTTTCGAGAGGTTTTAGCTATTTATGATCAATTAATTTTTTAAATAACCTTGAAATTGTGTATTTTTCACTCTTTATAACGGTCTATCATCCGTTATTTCATAGAATAACTAGTTATTTCATTGAATAACTAGGTTAAGTATGAAATATTTTATTTATTATATACTTTAACTTATTTGTGTGTGTCTAGTTATCTCATGAAATACTTAGTTATTTCATGAAATACTTAGATATTCCATGAAATAACTGAATTATACACTTTAACGGTGACATACATATATAATCATGTACTGCAAATTGCCATAAATCTTAAAAGGCAATAAACAGAAATGTAATAAGACAATATAGGACAGAAATAAGACAGCCTCTCCAGTACAATTCAAACTCTTAGCCTTAGGTCCTAAGATTGTAGAATGAAATATAGTGTTACACACACACATATAATCTGCCTTCCAAAAGACAAAACAAATTACCCACTTATTTTCTGCATCTCCGTACACTTTCCAAACAAAACCATTAAAAGAAATCAAAAACTACTTCCTTTATCAACTATTACTTACTCCCCTTTTCCTTGAATAAACAACCCAAACTAAGAAAAAAAAAACTGAAAAAAGAAGTAAAACTTTAAAGGAAACCGATCTTTTCCAATTCATCACTCTGGTGTTTTAAGCACAACCTCTCTCGCTTTTCCACAAGATTTAACTGCCGCAGTAGCAGCAGCAGTGCTTGTCTGCCCGCCGCTGGTCGTTTTGTAAGCCGCAGTTCTGCACTACTGAACCGTGACATTACAAAGTATTTCGGGCGAGCCCTCGCGCGTGACTGCAACAGGCGTGTGCGGGGCGACCACTCGTAAACAGGCGTGTTCCTGCCGTGGTTTGGTGGAGGCAATCATCTTGCTGATGACAGAACCGTCTACTGGCGATCAGTTTTGTATAGGACTTATGATTATAGAGTTCATGGTGACGGTAGGGGGGGATTAAGATGTCTTTTGAATAAAAAAAAATTATTGTGTGTGCGTATCATTATAATAAGTAAAAAAATGAGTAGTGAATAATGAAATGGTCTTACAGACACTTTTGATGAATCGCGCCGGCTGTAAGCTTATAGAAAAAAATAAGTATTTAAGTTTGATTCTTTACTTATTGGAAAGGAAGATAGTGAATATATTTATGATCTTGTCTTAGTTTTGAGTCTATTTGCTGTACATTTTTGTCGAGGGTTTTGTTTATATTTGGGGAAGGCAGCTGTTTTGGCTCGAGGACCGTTTTGTGGGAGTGGAAGATACCACAGGGTCACACTTTTTTTTAAAAATGACTATATTTATTGGTTATCATCTTAGAAAAGGTATAAATTGTACGTTAAAAACAAGTAATATATAAAAAAAATTAAGTCAACTCCTGCTTAGGTCAACAAAGAAAATTTTATTTTAGTTACTTTTTATTAAATAGTTACGATTAATATAAATATGTACATACATGTGACAGAATCACACTATTAAGTGGCAAAATAGAAAGCGATTTTCCTTGCAATTTTCCATTTTCCTTTCTACATATATTGTTGGACTATTATTTTTGTTTGTTACTATTTATTCATTAATTAAATTTAATTTTTTCAATAAAATAAGGTTGTAAAAAGAAATCACATTCTCAAAAATTAGGCCATTCCAGGTGGAATTCGAAACGCACCACCTTTGGATTAGAAGTCCAACGAGCTATCTATTGTGCTACAGTGACACAACGAACAATTTTCCTTTCTATGTATTCTGTTCGACCATTACTTTTGTTTCTAACTATTTATTCATTTTTTAAATTTAATTAATGAATTAATATTTGAAAAAACTGTGTTAACATTCAGTGTCATCCACTGCAAGTTTCAAAAAATGTATTTGAGCTTGAATGGGTGAATAGAAAGTATTTTATTAACGATTGAAAATTTGAACAAGATGTGTGAGTGTCTTTTTTTATTCAATTAACTTCATTATATTATCAATAAAAAGTGAGAAATAAATAGTCAGAAGCTGTCACTTGTTTTAAAATAGTTGAGTCATGCATCTCTTTTAAAATTTCTTGTGTAAAAACAACTGTTAAGGACTTAATACTTTTTAAAGATCAATCAGTACCTTTATTATTCGTTAAAATGTTTTCTCTCTGCAATTTCTTTTTAAAGCCTTTATTTCTTAATTACAAGACATTAATATGATAATAAGGTAATTTTATCAAACAATATATATTTGGGTTCTGATGCATAATATATTAAGTATTAAAATTGCAACCAACTTCCGGTCGCGTTGGTGTGAGAGTTTGTGGGGCGTCCGCCGTGTCAGGAGTTTGAGCCTTGTGCAACTGAACACCCACCATGTAGGGCTGATGGACGTTAAATCTGTCAAGGCTCAAAGGCCCTCGTGTTGGTGTTGTAGGGAAGTTAGGGTAAGGGGGTGCCAGTTTTGACCATGGTACGAAATTCTGAGGTCCGTCGCCAAAAGCCCTCGTGTAGCTGAATAGGGTGTCGTTGATATTCAATCAACTATGAGGGCTCGCGGAATGAAGAGCCATCTTCATAATCAACAAGCTTTTTCATTCTTATCCTTTCAAATATTATCAGAGCTTTAGTTGTAAGTTGTTTAGTTGGGGTGTGAGTCAGTTTTAGCCTACTGTAAATACATTCCTCAGAAAAAATACCTATCGTTTAATATATACTGGTTTGATTCCTTGAACTTGAACTAGTGTTAGTGCCAGGGGCGTATCTACCGTCGTATCAGCCGTACCAATGATAAGGGGCCCCCAAGCTTATGAGGTCCCAACATGCATAACTACAGTTCAACTACAAGCTCTCATATACAAAGAGGGGCCCTGAAAGAATTTTGATACAGAGCCCACTCAAAACTATCTTCGCCAGTGATTAGTGTATCCGTTCTCTGAATACACTAACAATTCAGATGTTAACTATAATTTAAATTAACGTCAATACGTTCATTTGCTATCTTCCTCCGTGAAATCCATTCACTTAACTTTAAACATAATTCTTTTTGCATTAGCCATGGTTCCTTTGTAAAAAGAAGTTCTCAAATGGAATAATTTATCCTTGAGGATTAGTTGAAGAACACGAAGAGAACCCGTTACAAAGTCATATTAATATTAGATTTAAAGTTACAAAAATCCCATAAGTTTGGTACAGAAACAATCAATCACACAAAAAATAGAATCAAATCTCTTACAAAATTAGCTTTACCATTTAAAGCCACATCACAAAAATATAAATGCAAGACCCCATTCGCAATCCTTCTTTTGGCTCAAAACGAATTCCAATCCTGAAAGAAAATCGTTTTCCCCTTATAAATTAAATCGAATATTTAAACAGAAACGACATTCTTTCCGAACCTTTCGACATAAACTTCTTTTACATCCTTCGACTCTCCCTCGAAACACTTGTTGTGAGTAAGTGAATCCTTTCGGTATTCCATTCCAATCGCCCCCTTCCCTTATCACCCCCGAGTGGGGCGCCCCGGCTCATACGGAGATTGATGCTGGTTGAAATTAAAGTTCGTCCCGTAATCGTAAAACTAGCCCCTTTCCCCTGTTCATTTGGTACGCGATTCGCCTGACTGATTGCCACCATCGTTCGCCCCGCATCTTCGTCCCCGGAGGGTTTTAATTCCCACCACCCCTTTTCGTTCCCACCCAATATAAATCTCGAACTGATATATGGTGGTCTCGCGATCCCTGGGCTGGTTAAAAGACTTGATTGCCGATTGCCAGGGCAAATAGAAACACTTGTTGTAGACATTGTGGACAAAGTGTCGCCAAACTTGTTGGCCAACGATGGGTTGAACATTATCCCACTTGGTGACAGCATAACTTTCTATTATTGGCTTGACTGTATTGAATAAAATGAACAATATATATAGAATGTAATATATTATTGTGAGGAAATTAAAGTTACTGATTTCCCTTGTTGTCAGACGTGAAATTATGCATTTTGCTCTACAAAATGAGATATTTTGCAAAAGGTTGAGGTTTAAATAGATTTTTGTGAAAGAATATGTGTACAACATTGTAAATAAAGTGAATTGTATGTATATATAGCATACATTATTTGATGTAAGTTATAAGTAATTGATTTCCCTTGCTGTTAGACGCGAATTTATGTAGAGTTTTATTATTAAGTAGGATATTTTGTTTATAAAATGCTGCGATATAAAATCCCGCAGTGGCATCATCGAGGGTGGGGTTTGGGGGTTTAAATCCCTCCCATAGACAAGCAGATTTTTATTTTGTAGCATAAAAACTAAGTCTTATAGGGCTTACATCTACATTTTTTTTTAAATATAACCTCTCCCATGGAAGTAATCTCTACGCTCCGCTGAGGTCTTGAAATGTATTTAAAGAGGAACGGATATGTGCAACACTGCGAAGATTTTATTTGTCATTTGGGTGAAGATATTCTGCTTTTTTCAATCTAACATTTCCTTCAAAAATAAATATCAGACAGATATATGATCTGACGCCTCCATGATGGGTAAAGAGAACAATTTAAATTGAAAACAGAACAGCACAATAATAAACAGAATTGAAATACTAAATTAGAGACATCTTGTTGTCGTTGTAGACAGAATGTTTCTAGAAGATCGTTTCTAAAACTGTGTATCAACCCTAGGATGCGTGATAACTCTACAAGGGGTGGGGCGAGCCTACTGAAAAGTCGAAAACAAAAGGTTATTTAAAATATTATTAATTTTCTGAAAGTAAGCAAGCAAAATACATTCTGACATAATAAGAAATGAATACGCATTTACACTGATATAATACACTTATGATAATGTCAGTACTGCATAATGTATTTTATAATTAATTTAGCAATATTAAGGTAAGAACAAGTTTAATAATTACCATTGACCCCATGGGCTTCTCATATATAAAATTATATACAAAAATTAACACTTATCTTAATAATTTGGACCCCCACCCCCCTTGAAAAATTCCTGTGTGCGCTACTGCTTGTTCCTCATGGGATGTCTCTCCACTGAGTTAAGTTATTATGCAATATATGATCAAAAATATTATGCTATATATGATCAAATATTATACAATATATGATCAAATATTATACAATATATGATCAAATATTATGCAATATACGATCAAATATTATGCAATATATGATTAAATATTATGTAATATATGATAAAATATTTTATAATGATAATTAAAGTATACAACTGAAGGAAACGTTAGCATTGATAAATTTTTACTTAGCAATTCATATTCACTGATGATTCTTAAATGGTTTACTTTGGCATTAAACTAACTCACCAGCCTTGATTTAAGCGAGTTTAATTAAATTACACTTATTATTCGGAAGATTTATTCACTTTTTTTTAGCTTCGAGTTTATTGAAAATTGCAGAAACAAAATTTAATTAAAGAGCGCGATACAAGAAGGAATCTGCATTTTTTTTTTGTATGAAAATTTTAAATTAAAAACTCAAGCGAAAATAAAAATATAAATAACTGAGAAAGTAATTAGTTTTAATCTCGGATGGAATTAATCATAATTAGCAAGAAAAAAAAAGTAATGATTTGTTTCAAAACTGAACGTGTGACATTTTCTTAAAATATGTAATAACTTCATTTAAACATATTTGAAACTTATTTTTTTAGTTTTATCCTTATATTTTTTTAATAATTTTAATTACTTTTGAAGTTCAATTTATCGGAATTTATTAAAGATTACTTAAACTTTCGTATCTTTTATTTGTAACTGGTTTAATTGATTCATGAGAGTAAGAACTTTAAAATGCATTCCTCTCCTTTTTTGTTTGCTTATCTCTTAATATTATTTCAGATTAAATATTTTTTTTATAAGTCAATTGAATATTTCCATTTTTCTTTTAATAAACCGCTCCTAATTCTAGTATATTGTATGTTAAAGTTTTAAATTGCTATGTTTAATTTCTTATCTGAATGGAGAAAAAAATTATTGTGTTCTCTGATATGTCTTCCAGTTACTTTAATCTTAAAATATTGATAAGAATATAATAAATCCACTACCTTCTTATTTAGAGAATCACAGGTTCAAGTCTCTGTCTCATCAAGAACTGCGATCGCGGTATCTCAGTGGTCACGGTCACGAGCCCGTGGCTGGCGTATCTTGGGTTCGAACCCTAGTGCCACTGAAGACCTATCGTATAGAGGGGCTGAAGTTTGTTAAGGTATCCGACTACGTTCGGAACCAGGATTTTAAAAAGCGCATAAAGGGATAATTTTCATGATATTTAGTGTCACTTAGATTAGAATACATGTATAAAATTGTTTTAAGGACATTATGACAAAAGAAAATTATTTAAATACAATATTTCGGCAAAAAATTCACTTAGAATAACCTTTTTTCAAAAGGTTCTCCTTTTGTGAAAAATGCTTCTATTATAATAACATTTTGCCTGCATATAGCTCAGACCTCTCTACAGAGGCTCAACTAAGATTTTTGAAAAATTCACATTATTTTCAGAGTTACAACCAATTAAAATAATTATCGGCGGGTTTTTTTCTTAAAATTTCTCCCCTCTGTTGTCGTAAAACATGGATAAACTCACTTCTAAGTGATATATTTCAAACATTCTAGTTGAGCCTCTGTACAGAAGTCTGAGCTATATACAGGCAAAATATTATTATAATTGAAGAATTTTTCACAAAAGGAGAATATTTTGAAAATGGGTCATTCTATGTTCATTTTTTGTC